TTCTGGATGCAGTGTACATTCAGAATATAACCACGTTATTGTGCTCTTGTGCACGCACAGGGGGATCGGTAGCTGAGTGGGCTAGTGCACACCAGCTCGGAGCAAGTGAAGCGAAAGCTCATGCTGCAGAACGCAGGGATCCTGTGCTCAATCCCTACCCCTGCCCGTTTCGATCTGGGAGAGCATCGTACCGGCGTGCGGTCGTGTACCACTACTGCGTGATGCACGTGAAAGACCCCAGGCTACCGGTTGTACTGCACTGGCTAAGTTTCTCATCTACAGCTGAGAGACAAGTCGCCTGTTGAGGCAGACTAACTTCAGGCTGTATAAACTTGCACACAAACACACATGAGGCACAACTACACACTTAAAAAAGCATTGTAAAATAAACTAATTAGCTCTTTTTAAAGCACTGAGTGCAATAAACAACAAAAATCATCTGTTTGATGCTTGTTTCATTTTACATTAATTAAAAAGAGCAAAAATGCCATTTCAAGCGACTAAGAAATGATCCCTAAATTTTTCATAAATATAAAAAAAAAAATACACACTCTAGCTAAACCTGGACTGTTGCATTCTACATATTCTAAAGTATATGCATGCCAAATTTGGTTGTGATAGGACAGTATTGAGAAAAAAATTATTGTGCACAAGCTGTGAGGATACCCCAAAATTACATCAAAAGAAAAATGCATTCGAATGTTACAGTAGATAGGTAGCCAGGCTCTTTTGTGGCGCGGAAAATGATATTTTGTTAATAAATTCCCATGTGAAGTTGAAGCTGCAGAAGACTGCAATGGAGAGGAGACGGCTAGGCTTACTTGTCAACGTAAATGTGATGGTGGACGACGTCACTATTTGAAGAACCATGCAGAGAAAAATGGTTAAGATTTTTCTCTTTCTTGGTTGCCTGGAGGTCTTCAAATGCGTATTTCATTAATTTTGCCATCATAACCGGCACTAATTATTTTTATACCTCAAATATAAAGGTTCAAAAATAATAAAACACCAGTGAACCCAAAATCAAATTTCTATTTCCAAAATATTGCCGTTTTTTTATTTGCACTTCCCTTTAAACGGCGCCTGAAAAGGAAAAAAAATGTTTTTTTAACAATCTGGTTGAGACAGGCGTGTCAAAAAAATAATTTTAACGCGGAAGAAAAAGAAATTTTTAAAGCAATATTGACGGCGCAAGACGTGATTTAGTCGGCAGTTACCTCCTTTCCACTTTTTTTCTCTTTTGGCATTTTGGGCACGTGGAGGAGAGGTAGATCGGCTTCGCATAAAATTTATTTTTTGCTACGCGTGCCCCAACCAGACTGTTTAAAAAACTTTCTTTTTCTTTTCAGGGGCCTTTTAAAGCCCGACCTACAAATGTTTGCTCTCTTGACGGTATCTTGACGGATGGGGGCTCCTTTCGTTGGGGCTGGATGAGCAGGGATTATCCGCCCCCAAGGTGCAGCAACAAAAGGCGTCCCTCCCCCCCCAGTCATGATAAGAATGGCAGAGGGGGAAATGGGAAAAGTGGAGTTAAAGTTGTTGGTGGTCCTCTCGTTGGTGGTGTGGGAGGCAGGTTCCGCTCCGATGGTCTGGAGCGTGGTGGCATGAGCGTCACTGAGTGACGGGTCGACTCACTGCTTGTAGAGAACTATGTGCATTTATTTACACTCTAGTTACAAGTCCCAACTTGGGAGATCATCCTGCCTCGTTTAGAGTCTCGACCCCTCGTCCCCAATTTCTCTCTATCGAATCCCAAATCCGAATCTCCCAAGATCCACTCCGCACTCTTTTTGTAGTCTTGTAGGGGCCTCCTTTCCCCTCAGGAACCGATCAATTTCTTCAAAATCCACCACTCACACATGGTACACTGTTCTCCAATGGTCGGCAAGCTGTCATCCTGGCGCTCCAACCGCCAAACCCAAATTCCTTGTAGAGTCGTTCTTTGCAATTTTCCCAGTCTGGCTGGCGCCAACCGCTAAATTATTGCATCGGGCGAAAAGCGACAATTTGACACCAAGCGGCAAAACCCTCTATATACCGGCACATTCGGTTGAAAGCCACAAGCATCTCCAAGCGCGGGCTCTCCCGGTCTCGGTCCGAGCAGACTCCCGAAACCCGAGACGTTTCTTAACGACCGCAGGGGAACCACTTCCGCATTGCGGCCACTCTGGCCCCGCCGACACAAACATAGAAAGCTAGAAAAAACAATGCTGACGCAACTCTGGAAAGGTTAACTTTTCTAACAAAAGAAAACACCTTAATTAATAAGCATGATTTCTATATACTTAACTGGTGGCAAGAAGGATTTTCCTACCTTGCCGAAAATCATTTTGTTGGTCGGCCTTTAAGTACAATGTACTTAAAGGCCTACTTTTCTATATTGGTTTTTGGGGTTTATTTTTCTTATAATTAGGGGGTGTTCTTTTCGGTATGAACCAAAAATCTGTGATTCTGTGTTTTCTTGGTGTCCATCTTCGGGGTTGGACAAAAAATTAGCACTTGTCAAGAAGTTGCAGGAAACGGGGCATGGGCATGCAATTGTCTAACCTCCAGTGAACATGTTTGTGGCTCGAATAACTTGGGAAACGTTCCACTACAGTGTTGAGATGGAAATGAGATAAGGGGTAGAGTTCCCAAGGAAAAAAGGAACTTCCCAAATGGTTCACTGCAGCTGTGTTCCGGGCAAACGCAAAATAAAACTGTAAATAAAGATTTCTTCTCGCGAAGAGCGGGAATTTTTTTATTGAAGGACAGCTCCAGTTCAGTTTTTTTTTCTTTTTTTTTTTTCCAGTTTAGATATTACTTGCTAGGGGGCTAATTTCTGGCACTTACGTGTAGGGGTGTGCGAATACCAAATAGCAGTTATCGAATTGGATACCGAGTCGAATTAAGCAAAAAAAGCCGAATATTGATTATCGATTTTTGAATAGTGATTTTATTTGTAGGAATTTTTCAAAGTGTGCTGTGAATGGGATTATTATATGTGCAGAGGATGCGCCTGGTGCAGAATATGCATCTCGTACAGAACAGAACCTCAAATGTATGAAAGTTCTGGTGAAAGAAAAAAAGAAAAGCAGCTGTTGATGGATGTTGGGCACTTAAGATCCAATTTTATGGTGCAAACATAATCTATCTACCCTAAGTGTCACAAAAACCCAAAGTTACAGCCACGCGTGCCTTCTTTTCTCGTTAAAAGCACGACCTGACACCGCGACATGTCTTTTTTTTTTTTATATTTATATATTTCAGAAAAGGGGCATTTTGCGATACTTGGTCTTAATATTAAGGTAGAAAAAGGGCACCCGGGATTTTGTTTTATATAAATAAACAGATAGCTGTTGAATCTGAGTAACCACAGAGACGGTTCGTGCGCATATTGGTCGTAAGTGCGCATGTGTTGTGTTGTCGTGCGGAAAGAAGGCGCGAGCAAACGGAACAGCGATGACGCCTCTCCGATCGACGTTTTTGTCTTTTCGTCACCTTCTCACAGTTCCTAGTAATTCAAATGCGGCTATCGAACAGTCTGAAACTCTCTCAAATCTAGGCACCCTACTTTTCTGTTCCGTTCCATTCCGAATCAGAATTTGCGGCTTGCGGTTCTATCCAAAAGAATGACGACAACAGCTCGGCTGGTTTCAGTGGCACGGTTAACGTGGTTTCTTTTTGTGATCTTGCAGTCGCCGATTTTTGTGAGTGTGGCAAGCGTGTTCTACATTGGCGCTTCAATTCGAGACGAGGGGCTTTACTCGTGCAAAGAATTAGGCGTGGCGCGGAATCCCAGCGTCCCAGCAATTCCTCTGGAAGTGGCGCTAACGGGGTGTTTTGGTTGTGATTCAAGATTAGATTGTGTCGCGATCATGAGTAAATCTATGTGCTATAAAGTTTGTGGAGAAAAAACGAATCTCTTGTCAGCTCCGCGCCGACCACGGATCTTTGGCGGAATATATTGAATATTCGAGTGACCGAATGCTAGGAATTCGATTTGCGAATCGAATTATTTGGGAGCTTGCTCTTCGATCGGAATTTGAGTATTCGCACACCCCTACTTATAGCTACATACCGAAAAGATGAAACCCTACTCACGAGACATGCTTTCATGGTTACAATACAACCATAAGTCGTATTTAGATTTCACATAATAAGGCCTCGGAAGCATTGAACGGGACACTACAAACTCCAAAACGTCATTCTTATTGATGTCTCAAATGTATGGCCATACTTTTTGGAAAAGAAGGACACGGTCAAGCGAAGAATGTAACATTAAGATTCTCCTGGAACAAGTTGAGAATAAGGGGAAGCGGCCTTGCTTCTCTATTTCTCGTTTCAGTTCACCTGCTCGACGGAATAAAGCAAATATGGCCATCTTTAACGGATGGCCGTATTTCTTTTCCAGAAATACGGCCATCCGTTAGAGATATCGCTGTGGAGGTGATGTTTTGGGGTTTTGCAGTGTCCCGCCTATCACTCCAGCCTCGTTTTGTAAGCTCCGAATTTCGGTTTTTGCGCCCGAGTGTGCTGCCACACATTCTTTTTTCACTGGGTATAAGCCTGGCAGCAGCCGGCAACGCCGATTTGTCACGTAGCACCGAGCACATTCGAGTGTGCGGCAACTCCCCAGACATAAACAAAAGAGAAAGCGCCATTTTTTTCTTGTTTCTTTTTTTGTCTCGTGTTTTTAGGCTACACTTTGCATCAAATGGCTAGTTTCCCTGGCAGAAAAATAAATGCTGCGTGAGTCAAAACGGATCGTGGCCCTTTGAAGGGTTTGTATAAGGTGGTTTCTTAACGTATCGCATCATCACTTCGTATAGAGGCAGCCAAAGACGATGCTCTGTGTATCAAAATTTCAAAGAACGAGCTTACCCAAGCAAAGATTCAGCTGTTCAATGCGGGAATTCGCTATAACTACGGCGGCTATAAGTAGAGAAACAATGCTAGCCTACACTATAAAAGGCTGCCATAGCTGGGACCTGTTCCATTTGTGCCTTTCCGTTACCTAGGTGGAGAAGTCCGAGGAGCAAGCCCTGGAGTACTTTCAGAACCAGTTCTTTGAGGCCTACGGCGGAGCCTGGACGACAAAGGTGGACTGGTTCTTCCACAGTGTCAAGCACTTCTAGTGTGCCGCTGCCAGCTGACACAGCGGGAGACAGCAGTGTGCGAAGGCCGGACTAGAGTGAGAAAAACAAGTGTACAGGACGGTGAACAAAGCAACAAGGAACTCGCTGCAGAGTCGGGCATTGCTCCACGTGGCAGCATTCTTTGCATCTCACTGCCGAGAGAATAATTTGCTCCCCATTTTTAGAGGTGTTTTTTTCTCTCTTTGCTAGTATATACATAATATACGGACTTTTTCCTTTTTTTTTTGGCTTTACAGGTTTGTTTTATGAGAGCCGGAAAGGCTGCATTAATGGCGGCCTTTGCAGGTAAGTTGTATGGCCATTGGGACATAATAAGAGGCTGATCGTGACGATAAATTCAACGATTAACTCAATTTTTTCATGAACTTTTAAGTTTGTGGATATAAACATATGGTTCTTATTAGAAACTTGCTGAGCATCGTCAAGAACTACTATATCAGCTTTCGAAAGTCTTCAAGCTCGTGGAAAGTGCAGTAGCACGCTAAAGTTAACACTTGTGCAACATGCAGAAGGCTGGTGGAGAGAGAATGTGGATGATCAGAGAAGACAAAAAAAAAAAAACGCGCAGGCGTGTTATCACACCGATAGCCTCGCTCCTGCTGCACGGGTGGTAACTTTAGCACTCGACCAAACTTCTCATGTGCTCCAAGTATTTGGAAAATGGACTGACTTGGCGGCTTTTGATGGCGCTCAGCAAGTTTCGCATTTAAACAACGTGTTTATATTCACTAATTAAAAAGTTAGTTAACATATTTGAGTTCATTAGCCTACTTATCGTGACAATTAGCCCCCTGTATTTTGACCCCCTGGCCGTATAACTCGCCCTCACAAACCGCACTAGTGTAGTAGCTTTCACGGCCTTTAAAAAACAAACCTGTAAAGCCTAGAAAAAAAAAATACCCTGTATGTATCTTGCAGCAGCCTTTTGGTTTTTCATGGTTCCATTCCTTTTTTGGGGTACTTAGGGCTAGTATCCACCATTACTGCAAATGCACAGGAGGGAGGGGAATGTTACGGAACAGCACGTGACAGCACGGCACATACCAACACGGCACATAGTCGAAACAACAGAACGTCTGAACGGCGCAATGCCAAGAGAGCGGCACGCATCAAAGCAGTGCAGCGATGATAGGCATGAGTGCATAGCCTGGTGCTGTATAGAGAATGTCATGATGTGGTGTTTTGATGGCATTCCTGAAAGGCTGCAGTTTTATTCACCACGCAATATATTCTATCAGCATAAATATTTTTCATCCCCCATTTTACTATTATGTATCGATGATTTGGATGGAAGTATGGAAATTGAGTCAATGACGGCATTCACACAGCTTGTTTATTTATTGCCTTTGCCATTAATTTTAGCTCAGTCACTGCTAGTAGCGTACTGGGTCCTAATAATTTGAAAACACTGAAGTTCATGGGTTTTAACAACCAGTTGTGGTAGCACAAAGGTTTATGTATGATACAGACTTTTAATGTTTTAAATAAGTCGTTTACCGGAGACTTTTGCTGGAGGTTTGATCATGATTTGTGTTCAGTTTCTGTTGTTGCTCTCAAGATGTAATGCTGAAAGTTACGTAAAGTAAAAGCACCATTGACTGCTAAACATAAAAGTAGAAACTGCAGTGCCTCCCTCCTTTAGGAAGACAAGCTACCTCTACACACATTTTTTTGTTCACAGTGGAAATGTCTATATGTCTGCTCGAAAAATTGCCGCCAATTAAGCTACAGATCATTTTCATTACAAAATAGTGAACACTTTCATTGAAGTTCAGTACTTGAAATGTTTTTCCTACAAGGTGATATCTTTGTTAATGGGAGTCTACAGCCCTTGATGTAATATAAAATACAGTTTTAAGTAATAGTTTTTAATTGTTGGTAATCTGGAAATAATTTTTACTAAATATTATTTCATTGAGAAGCATGATGAAGTAAATGGTGTATTTGGACAGCAGTTAAACAAAGGACCATTGCTAAAAAAATTCCCTTATCAGGAAAAGACTGTAAAGTTAAGTTTGAAACTCATATTAAATATAACTACAAACAAGTTATCATAGCCACCTTAAGGCCTTTTCTAAAATGCCAGATCTTCTTTCTTTTTTTTTTTTTTCCATTCGACTGGCTTTGTGGCATTGAGATTCTGTATCAGTTTCCAAAGCACAAAGATGAGGGTTTAAACCCTGTGTGGTTTCTGTTCTAAGGAGACTTTTAAATGTTGCTCATAGCTTCAGTTCCTTAGTTGCTTTACAACACAGAGCCCCAATTTTTTTCTATTTTCCTTGCATATGCTTGCTTTAAATGCACTCTTTTGTTTTTTTCGTTTTGTTGTGTACTTTCATGTCATGGTGCCACAGGAAGGTGCTTTCCAGTGTCTTTGCAAGTGTCAATGATTGTTGTAATGAGCCTTGCTTAAAAAAAAAAAAAAAAAAAGGAGAGGAGAAAAGTGTGCATGTGGTGCGTGTTTACACAGGATTCTTAATGCATGTGTAGATCGAAACTGAGGGTTTTCTTCCAATTCCTTCCGAACATTACAAAGGTTTGCTGTATGTCTTATCTGGAACTGCTACGTGAGCACAGTTGTGCTATCTAGAGACATATCTGTGCAGGGCCCTTCCATTTGCTTCTTGGAAAAGGTCTGTAAGCATCTTTGGCATGGATGTTGACAAGATAAGCCAGATGCTCTTTTTTTTCATCTGCTGGTCCTGTTGTGCTTGGAAACTTTTATAAATTAGGTTCCCAGCTTAATATGTGATAAGAAGAGTGATTCTTATTTTTTTCTTAATGTGTCAGTTTAGGATAAAAAAAAAAAAAAAAATGAGCAGCAGCAAAGAGTAATGCTCCTTGTAACTTACTTTTATTTTTGTTAGGAAATGACGGGGCAACAGTCAGCACTGCCATGACAATATACTGAGTGACCCAAGGAGCGGCCAGGCTCTTTAAATCGACCGCAAAAATCGGTTTCTTAATCTATCGCGTTCCGATTTTGTACAGCGTAGGCCACAGATGGTGCATTCTTTTGTAAAATTTGTAAAGGACAAACTTGCCTGAGGAAAAAGTAAAGAAGAAAAAGGCTTAGCTGCTATGGAACCGCTTGCACCATCTTTTGCCTCCCATGTGAAACAGCGCCATATTGTTTGAAGACCGGGGGCTTTGCTGCATTTCCATAGGAGCTAAGCCTTTTTCTTTCTTTAATTTTTCACCAGATAAATTCGCTCTTTGCAAATTTCACAAAAAAAAATGCACCATCTGTGGGCAACGCTGCACAAAGTCGTAGCGCTAGAGGTTAAGAAACCGAATTTTGCGGTCGATTTAAATAGCCTGGCCTCTCCTTGGGTCACCCAGTACAATGAAAGCATGATGGGCAATTGTGGGGTTTTGGCGAGAGATTTTTCAGAATGAAAGTACCTGGTTCTATAGGTGCGAAATATTTTTTTTTTATTCTTACTCTATGTATAATATAAATATTGCCGCCATGCTTGCAGTTTTTTAGGTAAAATGTGACATGTACTTGGGTTATTATCACCACGGCAGCTGTGCTATTATATGAGTGAATGCATCGTAGCGAAGCGAGCTCAGTTCAGGCTGCAGTTGACACGGGGGTGTGTTGACGGGAGGTTTTGTCTCATTCGCTGCACTGTCCAAGTTACAATTCTTCTTTGTGCGTTCGACGGTGAAGAATGTCCTCCAAGATCAGCCATTTTTCGTCTCTGTCTTTCTGTTGCCAAAATATTTGCCTTTGCATGCCTGAAAGGATTTACTGAATGACTCTTAACTTCTGCAGCTGCCCTCACTGAGTGGGGGAGGGGACTGCATCACACGAATATGTCCATTGCACAATAAAAATAGCACGAGGTAGTCTTTTTGTCATTTATGCAGATTGCCTCGTTTTTTTCTGCAATTTGTGACCTTCAATGGCACTTTAGAGTAAATACTCTGGGTCCTTTTTATGAGCCACATGTTTGTATTGGAAACAGCTCCATAGTGACCAGCGGCGTTGCTAAAGTCAGCGGCACCCAAGGTGGTAACCTGCCACGACCCCCCCCCCCTCCTCCCTTCCCGCCTCCTTCCACTGCCAGGCTGTACCCGGGGCAGTTCGCCCCCCCTCCTAGTGATGCCACTGATATCGACATGGCTAAAATGGCCAAATGCACCGTGGCTTGGAGCATGTGAAGCGAAAGCTCGCGCTGCAGAACCCAGGGATCCTGAGTTCGAACCTCCCCCTTCCCTCCTTTCGATCAGAAGAAGTGGTACACCGGCATGCGGTCGTGTCTCAATACAGTGTGTGCATTGAAGGCCCGAGCCTAGCAGTCGTTCAAATTGCAGGGTGTACCCGAGTACACAAGTTTCAAAGTTACGATGTTTTTATAAGATTTATGGTGCTAAAATAGCTTTAAAAGCTGCATCTCTATTCTGCACTTTTTTTTTAGGGGCGAAGCTCCTTAGGGTCTAGCCTTGTCCGTCCGGCGTCCGTGCTCACATCGATTGCACTGCCTCCGGGATCGGCCCACTTTTAAATAAAAAACGTACGCCCGCACGGGGGTTCAAACTCGGGACCGCTTGCTTACGAGGCAGACATCTTAACCACAACGTTGCACTCCAGCGTTGCATGTAGCCGCTCAACGTCTATACAGGAGAGGGCGCAGCGGTCAAATGCGTATATAATCGCGCTAAACTTTGCATGCATTGGCTCAACGTTTATAGACGAGAGGGCGCTGCGGTCAAATGCTCAACTGCGTATATAACCACGATCCATACCACACATTCTCTTTCTGACATGGACCGTTGACTTAAGCGGTGGAGATGTTTTCCCACAGCTTCTAACGGATCCAAGCTGATCCGCTAGAAGAACCACTGGCTCTGCATTTCACCGACCATAAAGCAGAGTAATAATGAAGTCGAAACGCAACCCAGAACTCAGCACTACCTATAAGCAATAAAAAAAAAATCAGTACTACCAATGAACAATAAAATCAGTATCATCAGCACTACCAGAGCTTAGCCCCAATCAGCTTCATTCACCACGTGGAGATGCGGTAATTTTTCCCATTCAAACTGGTCCCAATGTGTAACTTGCTTTGTGTTGGTGACTAAACGCATAAAAAGAATGTGGTGTATGAATACCAAAAGAAAAATGGGGCAGGATACAGTGGCATTCAAAGAGAATGGAAACATTTAGCGTATACTGTTCTGAACATCAAGATCCCGAAATATTCATGGTGTACTGTATTTTGGAATGCATGAAAACTGCATGTGGTGCTTCCTGAATTGATGCCCCAGTTGCAGTGACTGCTGTACATTCACTTCTAGCTTTTGTGTTCATAGTAGGTTTACTGTATTGGTGTGGACTGCAAACATCACCATCGGGCTTAAGGCAAAACATTGCTAGCATTTTAACTGGGTTTATATTGGGTGCTGGTCGCTAATTTTACCACTAATTTTTCTTCCTGTATTTTTTTTTTTTTTTAATTTTATATATGGTGAAACCTCCTCGAATCAGGCACTTGCAGCACATACTAGTAGCTAGCGTGCTTCTATATTAGGGAAGTGTTGGAGTTTGAGCTTGTCCTACTTCAGATGTCAGAGCAACGGAGGCACTGCTTCAATGCTTTATTGCTTCCTTTTTGTGGACAAATATCAAGGGACATTTATTCGTTATAGGTGCGTGTGTGGAAATCTATGTACAAAGATTCCATAATGACCAATTATGTGGTGCCACTAATGTATAGGGTGTTCCAAGTCGCCTGGCTCGATCTAAAATGGACCGTAAAAATCAATGCCTGCACATAGCAATCTAAACTTTTCGTCAAAGGTGTATTTCACAGGTCGGTTTTTTCTTGTAGAATTAGAAAGCGTAACTTTCCAATTTGCGGCCAAGAAACTTACCAGGGTCACCAGCGGGTGGCGACAGGGGTGGTTCCCGTTTCGACCCATTCCCAATTCAACCTTCCCGTTTCAACCCGGCTCAAAACGACCTTCTCGTTTCGTCCTTTCCCATTTCGCCCTATCCCGAAACAACCTTCCCGCTTCGGCCATCGCTCGTTATCAATTGGGTCTGTTCGTTTATATTGTTCGTTAACAGTTGGTTAGGTTCAAGTGTCCAATGTCTGTTCTCCTTGCTCCACCTCACTTCTCCCTCTCCCAAAACAACCTTGGAGACATGGCACTGTAAGATAAAAGCTGTCAGGGAGGGCTTACCTGAACATTAACAGCTTCATCGATCTGATCAGACGGGATGAGACCTTGACAAGACATAATTAAAAACAAAACAACGCAAAGCCGAGAACATGGTAAAAGGTAATTGACATGCAGGATACAGCGCTGTGTCCTGTCGGTTACCTTTTACTTTGCCCATCGTATTTGCACTGTTTTGTTTTTAATTATGTCTGCATACCAACTATAGCCCAAACTTCTACGTTAATCAACCTTGACAAGGATATTTTTGTAGCAGCTTGCAAATGGGGGTGCCGTGCGGGCCAGGGGACAGCCGCGGACTATCAAAATTGGAGTGTTGCCTTTCTGATAATGCGATTTTCCTGCTCGATTTCCTCAACAAAGGCGATAGCATTTTGTGGTTTATGAATTTTTCCTATGAGCGCGAGGGTTCTGTGCTTGAACTCGTGAGAAAATGAAGTCACAATCATATGCCTGTTAGCTTGTCTGATTTCTCGCTCTTCAAAATATCCCGTTTACTATAAGGAAGTTTTAGAATAACAGACGTAAGCGGTTTGGATAACCTAAAAATAGTGTCGCGATATAATACCTAAGCAACGCTAATCATTGCTTACTCAAAGTGCTTGCCTACGTTAATATAAGACTTCATTATTGTACAGAGCGCGACTGTTAGCGTGAACAAGCGATTGTTGGTTTTCGCTGTTTGTCTGAAAGAATCAAAAGACTGCCATCAATATTATTAGTGTCTTTGAAAGTGCTCATCTGGGCCACTAACCTAAGTGGTACAGTTTGGTACCTTCTAACACCATTTCAAAGTAACATTTAAAAAGTCCTCAACATCGTGTTCGCGGTAACGTTGTCACGTAGTGCACATAGTCCGTTTCGTAGTTCCACATTTTGGGGACCATCTTGAAAGAAATATTTCAAGTGGTTCAAGTAGAAATATATTTCGTTGGAGCTTGTCTGAAAGTTGTGTATATTTTAAGAATACGTTAAAAATACAAACTAGTTCACAACATAACTAAATAGCTCGTCGGCACCTTTGCGTTAATTGCATTGACAAAATTTTGAAACTATTCTTAAGGAGAAAATATGTGCAAAAGATGTGCGGGGCTTTATACTTATGGGTTTAAACGGGACGGGCTCAAACGTAAAGGGTGTTTCGGCTACGGATTCATATAAGAAGGGTGTTTTGGGAATGGATTGAAACGGGACAGGTTCAAATGGGACAGGCGATTCGGGAATGGGTTGAAACGGGACGTGTTTAAACGGGAAGGTCGTTTCGGGAACGGGTAGAAACGGGATTGGGTTGTTTTGGGCTACACCCGGCGACAGAGATGACCTGTGAATAAGTGTTTGGTACGGGATGTCGCAAACTTTTGTCGAACCGGATTTTAAAGTCAAACTTTCGGGGTTCGACTGGTTCAACGAACCATCTAACTTTTAACCAGATTCGACTGGTTTGACTTTGTGGACAGTTTGGCCAGACCTTGATACAAGCATGTCTAGGTTTGGAGAATTTTTTTATGCAAAGGGTTATTTTTATTTCTGAACAGTTGCAATTAACAGAAACTAATTCTAATCACTGAAGAAGTTAATAACTTAATTTTTTGGTACTGTATTAACTGCAATAACCAATGAGTGCTCCTTAATTCATCCCTTAGCCATCACCATCCGATCCAAAGCCAACTGGCCAGCCTGTCGTGCATGCGTATAGCAGTCGAACCTGAGTCGAACTTTTGTCGAACTTTTCACAAGAAGTTCGAAACAGTCGAACCTGGTCGAACTCGAACTTCGGCCGGTTTGCTACATCTCAAGTGTCTGGCGCTCGTATTGATAGATGGCGCTACCTCCTTATTGAGACTGCCCGTGACCACCATGGTTCATTAAAAGGAACATAATCTTTATGTAATGTAGCTTTGGTTTAAAAATAAGTGTGTACAATAAAATCAAACCTTAAAGTAAAAAAAACGTGTTTGCATAACGACGGCATTTTTGTTGCCAAAGGATTTCACCTGCGTGTCCTCTGCTTTCTTTCGCTGGTCGACTACACCTTCGGACGCTGCTCCCGACGCCATCTATCAATATGCGCACCAAGCACAATCCGCAACTCGACTCGGTCGTCTGTGTCGAAGTCTACCGTAGACCCTGGCAAGTTTTTTGGCCCTATTTTTTTACACAAAGAGAACTATGTTCTGTAATTTTACAAGAAAAAACCAACTTGTGAAATACACCTTTGACGAAAAGTTTAGAATTTTTACGGTCCATTTTAGATCAAGCCTGGTGGCTTAAGACACCCTATAGATTGCAGAGCAAAACCTTGTGATCTTTCGTACTCTGACATTAAGAAATTTTGACCATGTCTCACCAGAACTCAAAATTGTGATGATCTCATACACAGTCACTTTAAAACCTTACCTGGTGCCAAGACTTCATCTTTGTCAGGTTTTACAGAGTTAAAAACTGGTTACTTGGGTTTGTATATTGTAACAATACCTAAGGTTTAGTTTAGTAGCAGTAAGAAGGCATGTCATGATCTTATACCGGTATGAGGATCAGTAAATACAGGAAGTTCCATTGTGCAGAGAAGAAGGTTATTAAAAAGAAATACCTAGTATTAAGGAACCAACTTAACTCATTCGTTTAGTTTTCAGTAGGATGCTGACAAGAGGAACGTGCACCTGATAAAGGGAGTGTATTCGGTGGGTCCATACAGGTTGTTCTTAAAAACACGGATTCTAGCATATGTGCACAGATGGTTTCGCAACAAGGCTCAGTATGCTACACTACAAAATAAATTGTGACAAATTAAGGAAACCTGCCAGTCTAGTGCATATAACCCAGCCAGGCTCAGCAAATTATAATCTATTGACAATTGTTGGCAATCTCCCAACTTTTATAAAATTGGGGCAGATGTACTTCTGGTGTGAAACGGTATTTGTGCACTACGCGACAACATTACCGCGAACACGCTGTTGAGGACTTTTTAAATGTTACTTCGAAATGGTGTTAGAAGGTACCAAACTGTACCACTTAGGTTAATGGCCCAGATGAGCACTATCAAAGACACTTCCAGCCTTTCCACTCTGGTGAAGAATTGGAAGACCAGCGAAGCTGTACTATGGTGGGACGACTTTTGGGCAACCTCAAAGACGCCGCCTAGAGGACGACGTCTAGAAAGACCTCAAGGACAACTTCTAGGACGACCTCGGGGACGTCTAGGACGACCTCAGGGATGACATCTAGGATGACCTCAAGGATGATGTCTAGGACGACTTCAAGGACAACTTCTAGGAGGACAATGTCTAGGACAGGGGTGGCCAAACCGCGGCTCGCTAGCTCTTTGCTGGTCACGGTGCGGCTCGCGGATCCCTCGTAAGGGAACCCCCCCCGCTCGCCTCTTTCCACGTTTCCCCAGGAAAATAGAAAGGATTTCAGAATAAAGAACAGCTTCCGGTTTGGCAGCCTTGTGCCCCCAGACGTACGTGGAACCGCTTTTCACTCGTATGTTTCCACATATCCTCTTTCTTTCATTGTTCGACAGTTTGCCGGACCCTAGGGAGAAAGGCATCAAGGACAGGCACTGTCAAAGCATGCATGCACTTTGGCTTGGGGTCGAGGAAATGTTTTGTCTCGCAACCTTTGCTACTCGCCGGTGATACTTGTCTCCTTTAGGTAACGGATGTTCCATCTATCTTGTTCAAGGTCGCGGTAGCCCGGGTTGACATCATTCATAGCTTCCACTAGTCACAAACGTTATGTTCAAGTTCACAAAGGACCAGGAACATTCTCATTGTTATTTTTCCCGGCTTGCAGTTGTCACCCGCAAGCTGCTTTTTTTATGCTTGGGTGGGGGGGGGGGGGGGGATAACCAAGCAGCGGTGTTTGTTTTGCCTCTCCCCCCCTTTCTGCGGCTCTTAGACGTTTCGTGGTTCCTTTTGCGGCTCTTAGGCCGGGTAAGCCTGGCCACCCCTGGTCTAGGACAACCGTAAAGATGACTTCTAGGACGACCTCAAGGACAACTTCAAGGACGACGCACAGAGAAATTCAGCCTTTCCACTTTGGGGGAAACCAGAGTGTAAAGGTTGCCGCCATCCATGAGCGACGGCGGCAACCTGGTTGTCTGGTTGCCGCTGTTGCTCATAGATGGCGGTAGCTGTCCAGAGTTTTGTGTTGAGATTTATTTGTCCACAGACACGAAACTGGAGAAACTAGCCCTTAACAGCTCCACTGTAAATATATATATATATACCGTAAAATCCCGTAAAAACGCCCACCCAAAATGAAGAGATAAATGGTGAAAAACATGGGGTGGGCTATCTTTACGGATGCCACAGCAAAACTGTATCAAAAATTAATGATAAGCGCCGGGGCACCCGCTACAAACCAAGTGACGCGGGGACTGATACCGCAAATCGCGGACATGGCAAATTCGCGTTTCACAATGCGATAAACACGCGGGAGTTCGCTACAAACTCCTGTGTCACGGGAAAGGATACCGCAAGTGGCCGACGCAGCAGATTCGCGTTTCACGGTGCGGAGGAGTCGCGGAAACCCGCCGAGAACTCGCATCTTACGGGAAGGGATACCGCAGATCGCATACGCAGCAGATTCAAGTTTCATGATGCAATAAAGACGCGGGAACCCGCTACAATCTTGCCTGTCACGGAAACCGATATCGCGCGCGCAGATCGCGGACAAAAGCACGGGAATACGCTACGAACTCGCATGTCACTGAAACAAATAGCGCAGATCGCGGACGCAACAGAATCGTATTTCACGATGCAATATACACGCGGCAACAACTAGCGTGTTACGCGAGCCGATATCGCGCGCAGATCGCAGACAAAAACGCGGGAACCCGCTATGAACTCGCTTGTCGACACACCGGTACCGCCGATCGCGCCTTTGATGCGCGATTCCCGTCAGACATCACTTGACGTCCACCGGAAATCGGAGGGTGGGCGATGTTTCGGAATTTTTATGTTACAGATGTTTAGCCAGGTAAACGGGATGGGCGATCTCTCGGGGGAGGGCGCCCTTACGGGATTTTACGGTATATATATGTGTATGGTCACGATGAACGCAGCTTTATCGAGATCATATGCCACAGGGTCATTGTGTCCCCAATGAACCTCTGCTCCAGACTCTGCTGCGACTTGTCGACAGCCTTGCTAACTTTGCGATTTCTTCCAACTCGCTTCTTAAAATGGTGTGAATGTTTCCTTACACAGGCTCAGCAGTGATGCAACATATAGTTGGCCCTTCATCTAGCTGAGAAACTCAACATTCCTCGATGAATTTGACTGTTGTTTGGATCGGACGTGCGCGCTTTTCTAAACTGCGACCCCCCCCCCCCCCCCCCGAAATTATATGAGCATGGACTGGCAAAGCCCCCGTCAACAGGTGAACAAAATTGTTTAAGTACCTGTAGTAAAGATGAAGGAATTCCTTTGTACATTTTATTCTTTCATCTTTACTTCTACAACAAAGTATGTTGTATGTGGCACTAGTAGTTTGGACATAGCACAATTACCTGGAGATCAATGCTTAGCACCAGCAATGGACAAAACCGTCGGAACAGCTCCCAACAAACGATTTAATGCCGACTGAGCGCGATTTCAGGTCGGCACAAATGCTGTATCAGCGCTTGTTCCAATTTTGCAGCTGCAATTTGGCAAGCACTAAAAACCTTAGTGTATGTTAGCCATGCAGGTCTAAGTCTCTTGGAAGCAGCAGAGAGGTGCTTCTGTTGTCCTGCCTCCAGCACAAACAATTGCTGAATGCTGGGCATCAGAAAGATACGGCCTGCTGCTCTCATCTTGGTGAATATTGGCAACAAGATATGTCGGAGGCTCCATCTCGTGGTGCCCACCTGCAACGTCACGGCCAGGATTATCGATTGCCTTCAACGGTGTCTAAAAAGCGCGGCGGAAGCTTGTACTCATCGCGTCCCAACATCATCAAGGTTAACACTCCGACCATCCCACTTATTTCCATTAAAGTAGAATTCGTCGTAGCGAGTGTTTGGCCAATAGTGGAAGACCGACCACAGCAACACTCTTGTCGCACACGTTGTCAGTAGCAGTCGACATTTCGCGTAGAGGCTCAAATTGGCCAACACCTTGAATTAACAAAGTCTCGGCTACCACTCCGAGGCTTCCAAGAAGTTACTATGGCTCCGACTGCTTTTGTGTTTTTTTGCGATGAATCCCAGTTATATCAAGGTACAGGGTGAGGGGCAAAAAGCAGCGACGGAGCATTCCGGGCAAGAGCTGCTCCATGTGCATCAGACACGACCCACCACCAAAAGAAAGGAAACCTCCGTTATTTGCTTTGCGGAGCTGACTTGAAAACCAATATGGTTTATTCCGAGAAGGTGTCTCATTGTACAATGCGAAGTTACACAACACAAGTCATATCTTACAAAATTACATTAATGGTTGGGTGTCCACACCAGAATTAAGGCACTAGCTGAGTTGGTATGTACAGGTGTGTATTGCATTTGATGGCGGGGCACGTTGACAAGACAGACTTGCAAAACGTCACAAAACGTCACCCCACGAGTAGAAACGTCGGAGGGTTTCTTTCTCTGCAAGAGGACACCACTGCTTGGAAGGGGCACCAATGGACCTTTGAAAAATGCTACTGCTTACAAGGGAGATTGCTTTTTATGTTAAAAGCGTGGAAAAGGAAAACACTTTTGTGGCACCCTTCAGACTATGTCGCACACTCACAACTCGAGACATAGTTGCACTTTCCAGCATGCAATAAAGGGCGGAAAATATAATTTTTTTATCACTTTCAAAATTAGGCAAAACACAATTAAAAACACTGTGTGAATGGGAGCAGACCAAAAAATGTAAAAACACCTGTTGTTCCTGCAAAAACAGCATAATAAAAAAGAATGTTCCTCAAAAACAAGCTGGCACAGGCCAAATCGGAAAGAAGCATTGACAATGTCTCCTTGTTGCTCCAAGCGTTAGGCAACGCATCATCAGGGATTAATGAGACAATGATTTCCAACATTGCATGAACGTGAAAAGTCTTAAGTAATCAGCAAGTGACAGATCTTGAATTCCAGAGTCACTACGAACATTCGCTGAAGTAAAATACATAATGTTCTATGAGGTCAGTTTCTAGGGATACAGTTGGATTAAGTTTTGAAATGAACAAATCTTGTTAAAAGGGCCAAATTATATCAATGGAATGGCTTATTTCAAAGTGGGGCAAACATTGTGCACATTCCTTTAACATGGAATATGTGACAGAGGCAAATGTGACATTTTTAGAACAGAGTGCTTTTAATGCCCACGCACAAAGGGTTCCTGCTTGTAAATTGAGGCACTACATGCTCGCAATCGCAATTTTGCAATGCAGAAAAAAAGTAAAATATAAAAACCACTCACAAACTTGTAGAAAATGTGAGTTAGGTAAGCAAACGAAACAATGCGAAGTTGATGGCCACCGGCAATAGCGAGAGTTAAAGACTAGGAAAGGGCCGTTACCGAGGACCTTTTACACGAGTCCAAGGGGGTCGGCAGAGCAAGAGGATAGGAAGGGGTTCAAACAGCTCAGCAAGCAAAGGTCGGCGTGTTATCTGTCTGCTCTCTCTTTTTTTTTTAATAAATAACCGCAAATTTCTTGGTATGTACAGGTCCATCTTAAAGGCAGATCACTTGTGCCCCCTCCTCTGCACAGGGCCCCTAGATGCCCTCCACCCTGTCAATCTCTCCGGCATTGAGCCGAGCAGGATCCGCCTGCACTGTGAAGCCCAGCAAGGAGCTGTCCACTTTCTGCATCTTGCTCTTCTTCTTCTTCTTGGAGCGTGCAGCAGTAAATCCGTCGCCCTGCGTCGTGGCTGAAGCCTCGCGGGCTGCCATGCTCGCGATGCTGCTGGCCGCCAGCGTGAAGGTGTCCTCTGGCCGTGGCACAGAGCCACAGCTCTTGAGGTAGCGCTCCCGCCTCTGCAGGAACTGCTGCACAAAGTCCTTAGTGTCCAGGCTGTTGCCAAAGAAGTTGTGCACATACTCCTGCACCTCGGCCGGGGACTCGACATCCTTGAGAATGGCCACCACCGTCGGGATGTCCAGGTAGGACTGGATGCCACCCAGCACTTGCACGCACCATGCTGTTAGCTCGTCCGTGGGCGCCGCCTTGGCATGCACTTCGAACAGCTTCATCACCTGCTCCTCCGCCTTCTTGCTCTGCTGGCTCTTGGAAGAGCGGCCGCTCGAAGCACCGGCCACGGGGTTGCCCGCCAGTGATGGGAAGCTGCCGTCGCCCGCCGCCGGCTTGCTTGTCGACTTGGGGGCCGGCTTGGGGGCTGGTGTCGTCGTGACTGCCTCGTCCCAGAAGCCCCTGGTGTTGTCTTCGTCCTGAACCATCTCCAGGTACTGGAAGCTGTTGTTGAAGGACTTGAGCAGGCTGTTGGACGTGGTGCCCCAGGCACCCGACAGCTGGAGCACGCTGCTCTCCTGTTGCCGCATCTGCTGTTGCTGCTGGCGCTGCTGCTGCTGAGCCTTGCGCATCTTGTCCACCCGCTCGGCTTCCTCCTGCTGGATTTCTGACAGGGACTTGACCGCCGTGCCCGCGGGGGGGGCCTGTGCCCTCGAAGCCCACGTTAGGGTGGACTTCTGCGGCTGTTGCTGCTGTTGCTGGAGGAACAGTGCCTGCTGCATGGCCTGCTGCTGCTGCTTGCGCAGCTGCTGGGCACGCTCCTCGGCCAGACTACGCTCCTTCTCTTCCTGCATCCGCTGGATCTCAGCGAGAGAAAGGGCCGACGTCTGGACAGGCTGGCTGGTCTTGCTTCCCCACACGGGCCCTTGTGGCTTGTCCGGCCTCACTGGCTCAACCGTGGCTGGCTGCTGCTTGGGTGGCTGTTTCAGGGCCATGAACTCGTCCGCATCCATTAGAGACACCTTGCTGGGGCTCTTCTTCGCAGCTGGCGAAGACGCCATTGCGGTGAAAGCTCCCGTTGGTGGAGCAGCAGCCATGGCCGAGGCGGCTTTTGCTGCTGCAGCAGCTGCGGCTGCAGCCTCCTTCGCAGCCTTCTCCTGTCGTTTCTTCTCTTCAGCTGCCTTCTTAGCCTCTTCTGCTTTTCGCTTTTGCTCCTCTTCTGCCTTCCTCTCCTCCTCCATCCTCCTGCGCTCTTCTTCCACCTTCCTCTTCTCCTCCTCTATCCGCTGCTGCCGCAGCAGCTCCTCCTCCTTTTGCCTCCGCCTCCTCTCCTCCTCTTCCTCCATCCTCCTTCTCTCCTCTTCCTCCCGCCTTTGCCGTTCCTCCTCCTCCCTCCTCCGCCGTTCCTCTTCCTCCTCCTGCTGCCTCTTCTTCTCTGCCTCTTCCTTCCTCCGCTCCTCCAGCAGTCGCCGCTCCTCCTCCAGCCGTGCCTGCTTCTGGAGCTCCTGCAGCCGCCGTCCTTCTTCCTCCTTCATACGCATCTGCTCAGCCATGAGTGACTGCGATGCCAGCTTTTCCAGCCACAGGGTCTCCATCAAGTTCCGGCTAGGTGCAGCGGTTGGCAAAGGGGCTGCCACGATACTGGGATCGGCATCCCACACGCTGCTGCCCCTAGACTCTGCCGTAGACGTCGGGGCCGCAGTCGACACTGGTTGTGGAGGCCAGCTGGGACCCTCGGGCAGAGACGAGTCCTTGGCGAGGGAGTGCGGGATGCCGTAGACCGGAGGCAGCCCCATTGAGCTCAGCAGGTTCACGACGGGTGCGTGGTCACCAAAACCAGCTGGCCGAGACATGGGATGGCTGGCCATGTAGTACTGTAGACAGATGCGGTTCTGGTCGATGGGGGACAGGTTGGCAAAGGCGTCGTTGGTCTTGAGGTGGTTCTGGATCTGCTGCATGGCGGCTGCCCTGTACACCTCTTGCATGTAGTGCTGCTGGAACGCATAGGTCACTTGATTTGGAGGGAGGCTGGCAAGGCCTGGGTGCGGAAGGGGCGGCATCGCTAGGTTGGGAGGGGGATGGCCGCCAAGCTCTGCACCCAACGGGCTCTTCATCGGTGCAGGCTGCTGGGAGGCGGCAAAAGGCACAACACCCCAGCTCTTGATGAGAGCCCCCAGTTTGGAGAAACCCATATCACAGACCCGCTTCACCATCAAGTCCATAGTGAAGTAGCCTGCCTGGAACCACTCCATCATCTCAGGGGACGAGAACGGACCTTGGATGTCGCCTTGTGGGTCCTTGTAAAGCCATCGGTAGAGGTGCTCCGGCAGGTTTTGTTCCCCGGCTACAGACTGTGACACAAACTTCTTCTCCTCCTCGGCTGTCCATTCGGCCATCATGTTTTCCGCAGCTTTGGCGAGGTGTGCAAAGCTGTCGTCTTTTGGCGACGTCGACACTGTCTTGCTAGCTTCCTCCGGTCTGCTTTTAGGCTGCGGGCCTTCAAGCGGACACTGGGGCTGTGCGGGGGGAATCGGCTTGGGTGGACTCCGCACGGGCGACTTGTCCGCTTTCCTAGGGGGCACCTGGTGCGTGCGCTGGGGTGGGGGTGACTTCGGCTTCTCGGCAGGCGGCTCACTCACCCGCTTCGCGAGCGCAGCCTCCCTGGTCGGCTTGTCTTCTCGCTTAGCGGGCGGGCGAGCCTCCGCTTGTGCAGGAGGCAGCAGGTCTCCCTCCCAGCTCTCTTCCTCGAACTCCCTTGTGTCTAGGAAGGCGCCCTTGGCGTCGAAAGAGCCCACCTTCTCCGTGTCTCCCTGGTCTTGGATCCACTCGGGCAGCTGCTCGGGGGGTACGCTGCCGTGGTCCTCTATCCAATGCCTGTCCTTCTTGGCCGGGCCGTTGGTCGCCGCGGTCGTGCCGTCGTCCTCGTCGCCCTTGGCGTGATTTCTCCACGACTTCCACTTCTCGGTCGGGGGCTGCGCGGACGAGACCTTGCTGCGCCAGTTCTCGTCTTCCTCCGAGTGTCCCGAGCGCCAGTTCTCGGCAGGCCTGCTGGTCGTTGCGCTCGTTGCGCCGGCCCCGCCGCCAGGAGCCCCGCTGGCGGCGGCGGCGCCTTCTTTGCGGAACGTGTCGCCGTCGAAGCCTGGCCTGGCCGGGAATTGCCGATCGGGCTTCTTGTCGTCCCAGCGCTGGTCGCGCTCCGTGAGGCTGTGGCTGCGCTCGAAGGGCCTCGCACGGATGAAGGCTCCGAACTGACTCGTGTCGCCGGACTCCTCGCTGCTGCCGCCGAGGCCCCTCTGGTAGACGCCGCCACGGCCTCGACCGCGACCCCGGTCCACCGATCCGCCCCGAGGTCCTCCCCGACCAGGTCCCGCACCGGGCACGGCGCCCTTGCCCACAGTGAGCCGAAGCACCGCGTCACTGTTCACCGAGCGTGCCCAAATCCGCTGCTCCTCTTCAGTCATCGTGACAAGCGCCAGCGGCGGCTGCGTGTTCTCAACGGCCAGCTGCTGGAACTCGCGCAACGTCTCCGGCATGGGCGCGCTTTGATCAAACATCGCGAGCATCTCTTCCCTCCCGTATCGGTAGTTTGAGAGCTTGTACTTTGTTAGCCCGGCCGTCGGGGCTGGTGCTGTGACCCCGTTGGTCTGAGTCAGTGCGCGGAGCCACTCGGGACCAAACTTGAGTGCCGTTTCTCCCATCTCGAAGCGATTGGAGTTCGGTTTTGGCGATTGGGAAAGAAAACTAAGCCCTGACACGACAGCAAGGATCAAAATGGCCGACAATTATACGGTACCAGACCCAAGAAATGCTCTCACTTCTGAAAAATTAGTCGATCTTTGTAGGGGGCGCTAGTGATAAGATAACTTCCAGTAAGCAGCCGTAGTAAACATAGAGTTATTGCAATAAACGCTAGAGGCTCAGCTGGCGCTAGTGTCTAAGGGACTTCCGGTTGCAAATGGAAGCAGACAGCATGCAGTCTAGATTTCCAGCCTCCCTGTGTATTCCTATGGGAAAACGCGCGTGAATTTTGTCTCTTCGCCGGAAAATAACATGAATAACTTTTGTCATTTCGGTTGTACCGGATAGTATGTACCTTTATTGGTATTGTGAGAGTGCAATTGCTAATTAGTTACATTTTTCTTTACTACTGAACGATGTTAAACTTCGCTCTATTTCAGGCCCAAAGCTCTGTTGCAAGGAAGGTATGTAAAAACGAGCGACGATTCTAAGCAAACTAACGATCGAAAGGAATGTAAAATACGTGCGTTCAAAGCTTTTTTTTTTTTTTTTTTTTTTTTTTTTTTTTTTAGGTGCGTGTGCGATAATGGGCCCCAGGTTGGGACTGCAAGCCTTCGTGGTATGTGCATCACTGCCTTTTGCGACCCTGTGCGCCTGGATAAACCCTCCAAAGTACGAATGAAGTATTATTATTATTTCTGTGGTGCTTAAATGTTGCTAATTGCCCGTCCTGTCATTGGATGAAAATGACTCCGTCGTGCATCTTTACGATTGGTTAAAAAAAACATTCGAACGCAAAAAAAAAAAAAAAAAAATAATAATAATAATAAAAAAATCACGTGAACTACGAAAGGTGCGTCTTTTTTATTATTTCTTATGTCGGGCACTTTTTATCGGGCACCTGCTCTTTGGCTCCTGCAAAGATTTGGAGCTTGCGGGTGATGGGTGATGATTTAAATTCCCAGAACAAGCATCTTCGCACATATTCATGAGCAGGAATGAAGCAGTACTTATTTATTGCAAATCAGACTAGATTACATGGCATTCAATTTATTTTGATCGTCTGCATGCACAAGGAGTTACTTATCTAGTGTTGCGTAGTTCTTGCCGTCTCTCTTGGTTTTCCACGTGTCCTTCGTTCGTTCACGTATCCCCCATGCTGAAAGCGTCGACGCCGTGTTCGAGCTAGCAGCGTCCGAAAGTGCGCATAAATACGCGTACGAAGCAGTTTTAGCACCGTTTTTCATGCCACGAATTTCAAATAAAAATGCTGTAAACTGACCAATTATTTCGTCAGCGTGACTGATAAATGTTCCAATGTGCCTAGTACGTACACATTATTCCTGATATTTGCTCTTATGTTCGAGCGCAGAAAGAAAATACACTCGCCTTTTCCCATAGAAATGCATTACCGGAAGTCAGTTTCTGACTGCTTGCTGTCTGTTTCAAAATGCAACAGCACACTAGCGCCAGCTGAGCCTCTGGCGTTTATTGTAATAACTCTATGGTAGTAAAAGAGTAAAAGTACAGTGGTAAAAGACAGAGTGCCTCAATGTTGTTGGCCGCTGCGCCTTGCAAGGCGCAGCGGCCAACAACCAACAACATTGAGGCACTCTAGTAAAAAAACGCTTGGAGCACCCACAGCGGCAGCATCTTACAAAGCAAGTTTTGTTTGAACCACTGGTCTCGTCGTAGATATCAAAGACTTGCACACCTGGGAACCAGAAGAGACAAAAAAACATTGGCTAATAAATTTAGTATTCGCCTTATCAGCGGCGTAGACTTTCCATTTTCCGGGGGGGGGGGGGGGGGGGGGGGGGGGGGGGGGGGCAGGGCAGGGCAGGGCAGGCAATTTTGGGCAGGCCACCGATCAGTGGGGGCAGGCTGACAAGTTCTACGGGGGGAAAGGGGGGGGGGGGGCTGCTGCGCGTTATTTTTTCGCCAGAACTGGAGATTGAAGCTAACGAAAGCTCGCTGGGATTCCGTTTTCCATGTATTTTGTCAATAAAGGCAGGGTGGACGTTATTTTGTTTACATGCCACTACTAGAAGCTCGTTACATGGCACCAACGTTACTAGAACGTACCCCTCCCAGTTGGGAAACTCACCGTTCAAACCTGGGCCGCTGGCGTCTACCGAGACCGAGCTAAATACGACAACAGCGGCACTCTGTATATATCATTTGTCTTAACTGTGGTCACCTTGAGCTTGTAGAAAGCATGTTTTTGCGTAAAAACCAACGGAAAAAAAAACTCTTTTCGTAGTAACCTTTATAGGAGATTAGTACAAAACGAAGGGCGCGTGTTGTTTTCAAAAATATTTGGTTTTTCAAGTTTTGCAGTACAATTATTAGGGAGTTTTGGTAGATCGCTTTCAAAGGCCCGCTACCGCTACGAGCGCGCGCTTTAGCGCATGCATCAAAGTGCCAGCGCGAGCTCCCGCTACGATTAGCGTGGCCTGAAAACACGATCTACTAAAACTCTCTAATATTGTTTTTTATACAACATTGCCTCAGCGGTGACTTCAGGTAGCGCGTCCCGAGCTAGACGTATATTAACCTCGATAGTGATTCGCGGCGCGTCCGTTTGGGAGTCGGGGGTGGCATCCCTGAAGCCCCTTCCACAGTATCTGTTTTGGCTTCAAAATGGCCGATTAAAACCAAAAGGGAAGTCACGTGCAGTTCCTCGAGTGGCCGCTGCGGGAGAAGTGGTGGCGTTGTGATCGCATTTAGTTGTTCAGGAGTACGAATCGGTGCCACTTTTTCAGAGCAGTTTCTATGGCAGTTTCCCAACTGAGTGGTTCTAGTAACGTTGCATGGCACGTAAACAGCGTCTCGGTAAGGATCATGGTTTGGCCCGGGGAGGGGCTCTGCACCCCCCCCCCCCCCCCCCCCCCGGATCTTACCAGGGGGAGCACGAGCCCCGATAGCCCCCCCGGAGTCTACACCTATACGCCTTATTATAGTTTATAGTCACTCTCACTGGAAGGCAACGGTATTGTTCTACCGTTTTCTTCATTTTTATTTCTGCGTGTGAGTGGTAATAATTTGCCAAATGACACACGATTCCGAAAGGCACCGTTCGCAACATTAGAACGCTGTCAAAACGATAGCAACGATAATATCACCGCTTGCTGAAGTATGACAGGCCGTTGCTTGTTGCTTCGTGCACATGAGCGAGATAACGAAAATAGACCACCACGTCGCACTCAAAGAACCTCTGACACGCCAAAAAAATATTTTTTTTTCATGCTAGGCGTTGAATTGGCATGTCAGGACATTACAAAAAAATTGTTTCACTAAAAAAATGCGTAGTTTTTTTTTTTTTTTTTTTTTATAAAAAATAGAAATACGAGGTTCAATTCAAAGTTCCCGCCAGTGCACTGTGACGCAACAGTATCGGGGCGGTCAGAAGGGAGGCATCGCCGGAAGTCACGTGAGTTGTATCCCTCCTCGTGCTTACCGCGAGCACGTGTAATATTTTTTAAATACTTTTGTTATTCTCCGCACCTCCATGAGCGATCCAAGCAGACAAGGTTTCTTTTATTTGCTTTTCACCGCTTAATGTTGCTGTAAAGGTAGAAGAAAAGGAGTCAGTGAATTGACGTGAACAACTAGAATGTCTAGAAGGTGCTGTGTGAGGGACTGTCCCGCTATTTCAGCAACTGAAGAGATCACACTGCATGCATTTCCGAGAGACGGCAGGCATCTTCAGCCACGCCTCTACCGGAACGCTTCAGCTGTGGGGACAACAAACCGAATTTTCTTCTTCGTTTTTGATAAGAGAAATCGAAAATGACGATTCGAAGGCCGCTCCTCGTGCGAGTAAAGCACTGGTCAAAGCGAAGCGCTCGTGTCCAGACCACGTTCAGTTCATAATGCGTTTATTGGCCATAATCTAGGGGGAAAGGAGAGGGAGGGTGTCGGTAACTACGCGGTCTGGACGCTGGCACAAATTAAAAGAGAAGGGATTAGATGAAGATGTCCAACTTGGCCTCATAGATAAGATCTAGGAGGCCGTTCAGGATTCTCCTTTGGTTGTCCTGGGATCCAGGCGGGTGTGTCCATCCATCCAGGGAGATAATGTCTGGGGGTCGGTGCTTTGTCCTGGCTTCCTTTGATTTGGGGCACTCCCATAGAATGTGGTGAGTGTCGGCCTTCTTGCCCATGGTGCACATAGAACAGGTTCCAGACCTGGTTCCTTTGCTCCATGATGCGATGCGGGCGGGCGTGCAGGTGGTGTCCGTGCGTATTTTCGTGAGGAGAACGCTGGCTCGTCTGCCGAAACCCTGGGGAAGGGGATCTGCGTTCGGAGGAAGTTTCTCTCACAGTGTGGTCCGGTAGTGCTCTTTAATCTGGGCCCGTTCTTCATCCGGGTCGTATCCTTGATCTGTTTGGCCAGCCGTGTCCTGATCACAGGCGGGGGCATAGCCGTGGTCGTGTATATGTGGAGGGACGTCAGCAGCTTCGCGGAGAAGGGAAAGGGACGCGCGAGCTAGCTGATGAGCCTCTTCATTGCCCTCGATGCCTGCATGCGCAGGGACCCAGGAGATTTTGGTAGTCGTTCCTTCCTGCAGGAGTCGGGAGGCGAGCTTCTTGATTTCCCGAACTATGCGGCTCGGACTTCTTGCTTTTTGGCATTCTTTAATTGCTTCTCTTGAGTCCGAGAACACTCGAAGTTCGCGAGGGAGCGGATGTTGTGACTTGAGGACTGTTTTGAGGGCGAGGTGAATCGCCGCAAGTTCACCCCCTTTGATGGAGGTGCGCATTGGAAGTGCGTTCGCGGCCGAGGAGTCGAGAGCTGGAAAGTAGACTGCCGCGGTCTTCAGCGGAACCGGGGAGTCTTCTGCGGCGGTGTCGGTATATGCGGCTATGATGTGAGTGGGGTTAGTCCATGTCTCAACCATTCTGGAGTGCGCTTTTGCGATTCGTGCTTGCTGTTGGAAGTCGCCTTTTCGAGCAGTCGACTTGTTTTCAGTAATGTTCATGTGATCCTCCCAAGGAGGGAGTTGCTCGGGAAGGTTGGGGAGGCCGTCTGTTGCGCGCCATTGAACCACGCTAGGCGAGGTTCAATTTCT